ACGCGAGCACGCGCACACACACACACACACACACACACACACACACACAAAGGTAATAAATTAAATACTTTTGTACAAAGGATAGAGAAGACAACTTTTAACTGGATAAAATGTTAGCAAACTATTCTATTTAATAAGAATCTAATATCTGAACCAGATGGTGGTGGCACACACAGGCTCCAAAGGTACAGAGAAACCCTGTCTTGAAAAACCAGAAAAAGAATCTAGTGTCTGAATATATAAACAAGTCTTATAGTTTGGTAACAAAAGAGACAACCCTATTTGACAATGACCAGTGTGGAGACATTTAAGAGAAAATAAGCTAAAAAGGTGAACAGATGATATGCAAAAATATTAGCTATTAAGGAAATAAAATCCCAAACTGCATGAGCCCACTTCAACTAGGATGACCATAAGACAGTAGAAAAAACACCATACACTGATGAGGCTGCAGAGAAACTGGAACTCAGATGCCACTGACAGCAGTGTCGCCATGTAACTCAGCAGTTTCAGTCTGTGTATGCTCTCAAGATTGGGAAACAAAGAATTAAACAAGTGTATACATAAGATCTAAAAGTGGAAACAACCCAGATGCTTGACAACTATTTTCAACAAACCATATGGTGTTATGTAACACATATGTATATGTACCTATGTGTGTACACACACACACACACACACACACACACTTCAGTTATAAAAAAGAATACCTGATATGTACATGAACTTTGTATCATGCTAAAGAAATCAAACATAAGTTACGATTCCAGTGTAGAGGCAAATCCAGATGAAGAGGCATTAGTGGTTTCTGTAGGTTGGGTAGAGGAGGAATTGAAAATAACTGCTCAATAATGGCTGCTCAACTTGCTTCTGGGTTGATGAAAATGTTCTGAAACTACAGAATAGTGATAAGTGCACAACCCTGCACACACTAAATGTCTCATTGGATTATCCTAAAATGATTAGTGTGGTAAATTTTACGTGTATTTTACTACAATAGAAAATTTAAAATAGAAAGTTAGGAGAGACATTATTATAGGAATTAGAGGGTAAAAAGATGGTTTTGTAGCTTGTAAAACTATTAAGTTCTAATGTGTCTAATGGTATACATTTTTATATTCTATAGCAAACAAAAATGTTTTATAAAATAAGTTTTTTATTGTGCTATTCATTACTTTTAGATATTAGGTGGATAGTGTCCATTCAACAGAAGAAACACACTAATAGTAGGAAGAAAAAATAACTGAACAAAGTATATGATTTGAATCAGATAACTATTCCAATGTAAAACAGGGGGTTTGGGTTTTTTTCTGCTTTTCAGACAGGGTTTCACTATGTATCTCTGGCTAGCCTGGAATTGACAAAGATTCACCTGCTTCAGCCTTCCAAGTGTTGGGATTAGTGATGTGAGCCAACTACACCTGACCTAAAGCAAGATTTTTGTAGGCAACTGGCAAAAATTCCTTTTTGAAGCTTTAGAAAAGGACGTTATAAAGTGTAACTGCACAAAGTCCCATACCCTTGGGTCCTTCGTAATAAACTGCTTTGGGAATTTTACGTGAACGAGAGAATGAAATATGTAACATTTTGCCATGTGCAACATTAAACAGTGTGGTCATTAAAACAGACAAAAATCATACAACTAATGATGTCTGGAACAGGACATGGTAGTACATAGTTGTAATCCCAGAACGTACAGCCCAAGGCAGGAAGATTCCAAATTCAAGGCCAGCTTGGGAAACACAGCAAGACTGTTTTCAAAAGGAGAAAAAAAAGACTTACAGATACTAGTATAGAAAATAACTGGTCAACCCTTTAGATATACGTGACTACATGGAACAAACTGATTTCCTCTCCGGTACAAACACACATGTGGTAAAAATTTCAAGTCTGTGAAAAGATGTCATGTTAAGACCATTCAGCAGCCTTAGGAACTGAGTTAGGAAAACATCGAGTAACATCCGTGACGGTACATTGTTCAGAACAGAAACGATTAACAGAATATCAAGCACTGAAACAAAATAAGCACTATCGCTTCTCCTCCTTCCAACTTCAATATGAACTACTTCTATAGTGACATGATGAAACTGCTGACTTTTACAGTCTCACTACACTTGCGCTTGATTTTTCTAAAATGGCAATAATTGTCTACTTTGAGAATGCTGGGAATCTTACTATACCCTCTTCCACAGTATCTCAAAACGACCAACAAAATAACAAAAAAAGTATAAAAATACTGAATGTGAACAGTCAAATGTGAATTAGGGGGGTCATTAGGAAGATTTTGTTTTCTGGCTTCATAATTTTTTTACAATATTTGGAGTTTAAAGATTTTCCCCCCGAAACCTTTTTTAAATAAAAGTTTTATTGGAGAAAAATAGAACCACCACATACACAGGGGGAAAAAAAGCACAAAAATTCAACTGATACAGAACAACTGAAATTCAATTATCCAATGTAGTTTGCCATTACTTTTCAGTTTCTTAAACAGCTTCCCTTAAAAGTCTGACTAGTTTTTCAGCTGAAACAGCATCAATTGACAAAGAAATAAGAACCTCAGGAAAGGGACCTTCTTTCAAGATAATGAAGACGGTATCAAGAGCCTCCTAGTAGGAACAACTATACCTAACAGTTGTTGAGAGTAACTAGTGAGTGGTGTAATAGTCTCCATATCCCGGAGACCAACAGGGATGAAGTAGAACACTGATATTGATATTCATATAAACATAATAACAGCCACATTTATTTCCTTGTCAGAAGAGCTCCTGTAAGGTAATCAGGAAGGAGCTGGACAAAAATATACGAAATAG